AAATTTAACAGAACAACTTGTCGCCAAGCTTATGATACATAGCCAAATATATATAGTGAACGATAGCTAAATTTAATGATGATAGCAGCGAATTTTAATTGTTTTCAGATATTGCAAACAATGGTGAAATTTTCCAATTAACAGATTTTGTAAAGAAATGTGGAGAAGCAGTAATAAATGAAGATGATATAGAAGAAGTTTTTCATCGTGATGACAATGCTTATCAGTCATCAATCGATGAATGGTGAAATCTGTAGTATGGTTCTAAATCCAGAAAATACCGCTACCGATACTGAAGAAAGTGACAGAGAAGTTACTGAAAACGAAAAAATTTGGATTGATTGGAATTCTCGACACAGCAGTTACAGGACTTTTTTTGTAAATTTTGATACTCTTTAGATCATAAGTACTTCATTATGTTGTACTGTACCAATCTTCCAGTTTCTTAATAATATTCATATAAATGGTGAGAGAAGGAAATCAGAGATAAAAAAATTAACAAAAAGGCATGAAATTAATAGTGTCTGAAGTTATCAAAAATTTTTAATTAAAAAGAAACTTTCTGCGCATGCGTGGACCTTTACGGCTGCAAATATGCTTGTGCGCATGTGCATAATACGTTTACGCATGCGCGTTTAATGTATAACGGACGGTATAAGCTAAGCTAAAATTATCTAATTCAGTTAATGTTGCAGATTGCGTTGTTCCTTAATCTTCGAATTGGATCCGGTTTATTATTTTTTGCAGACTGTTAGAGCAATTTTATAAAAGTAAGCTTGAACTTTCGATTATGTCAAATAGAATTTCCGATATATATTTACTAATATGTAAAGGATCTACAAAGCAAAAGTATGTTTCAATTTCACGCTGCTCTGCGGCGCACAATGAATTGGAAGTTGATCTGTCAGCACTATTCTTATCTTCAGGGCAGATGTTTTTATTTTATTTTATTATTATACAGCAATTATAGGACTTGAACAGCAGAACTTTGTAACTGAAGAAGAAATTATGTCTGTTTATAGAATTAAAGAGAAAGTATTATCACATAAAACGAAGCAACTTAACAACTTACATTGAAAGAAATGTTTAATAAAGTAAACAAATAAATATTAAGCTTTTTTTTGTGTGTAAATTTTGATACCCTTTATATCATAATTGTTTTTTATTTCATAAATTATGGTTTCATATTTTTAATTTTATAATTTCTGCATGCCATCTTACCAGATTTAAACTGATGATCTATAATCCGGAATCGCCAAAGTCCCGATGAGTCCGGATTAACGGCTTTTGACTGTATTTCTTTTGAAGCAATGAATAAGTCTTCAAAATCTGAATATTTCACGTATAAGTTGCTCTATAATACAAAATTATTTGAAGGTTTGAGTTTTCATAAATACAGTTATGATTTTTTAAAAGGTTTTTGTATTTTTGATTTGACATTAGCAATGGGAACAGTAACTTTAAATGAGAGAGAGATATAAAAATATTTTTACGCAAGAGCGGGGGGGGGGGATATATTTGTCGAACGAAATTGAATACTCTTATTTTTAAAAAAGGGTATTCTGTATTTAATAATGGGGTTAATTAACATGGTATGGTTAATTAATAATAAATCACAACGATTGAAATTAAATCAGAAAGTCAGTTACTATAAAAATAAGTAATTTTTATTAACAAATATGAGACAAAAATATTCTTGTTTACAAATAACAATACAAATTATGAAAATATATAGTCATATATAATCTAATTATCAAAGAAAAACAATAAATTTGAAAAATAATTTAATCATTCATATGAAACTTTATACAAACTGCATAATATTTTTCATGTAACTGAATCGTTAAAAACACTTCTGGAAGCCAGAGCTTTCTAAAATATTAATTTAGTATCGTCGTATTTTATATAAATTGAAAGAATTCTATATGATTAATTTCCTAATACAAATACACTTTTCATTCAATAATTTTTTTTCTCAATTTATAACAATGCTGTGCACAAATTTTGAACACCAATGACTATACAAATATATTTTATAATTGCTGTACAACACACTTGAAAGACACATTCTAGACACTTAATTCATGTATCTTTTGATTAATAAAAAATTAGTACTGTGCATAATTTATATGTTTAGTCTGAAAATACAGAGAAATGCAAAATTCATAGCATAAAGATTAATCTATAGTTTATATTTTCAAGGAACATTATAAATAAATATATTACTCTACAACTCGGAACACTAAACACTGCACAGCATTCATTTGTACTATACTGATATAAACTTTCAATAGATGTTTTTATCTGTGATATTCAGGGATGGACAAAAGTCACTAGGTCATTTTGATGTTTATTTAAATTGCAATAAAATAAACATGTTACCCCACAGAATTTAGCATTTTATCTTCTAATTTCATATGGCAATGCAAGAAGCACAGGAATGCTTTAAAAACATTTTCAAAGCAATTATGTAATTTAACTAATAATATCACCATTTAATGGGCAGTCACTTTTAGCCCACCCTGTATATTTAGGAACTTGTAAATATTCACAGGAACTATTAGTCTGCCTATGTAATAATCTCAATGTGATATACCAGATAGGTACTCAAGAACAAAATACTATCTATTTACTTATTTACATTCACATACACTAAGAAACAAACTGTCAGATTAATAATTAATGAAATTTCAAGTAAAAACACTGATTTTTCTTTTCACATGAATTTAATTTTAAAGTATAAAAATCTCCAAAATTTTATTAATGAAGCAATTTATAAACAAACAAGTTTAAAGAAAGATTTTAAATTGAGACATAAGATGGGTTCCAAAAGTTTTTCTAAGATCTGCGTTTTTCTGAAACAGCATTTTTTTGTTAAAGAATCGTAGATTAAAGGTATATCTTATCATGTGAAGTCTTATATTATATGATTATATATTGCAGCTTAGAGAAGTAGAAGTATGAATATATTTCATAAAACCACCATTACAATACTCAACTGCTTCTTGTATTTAACTGGCTATTTACTATTATATCTATAGCGATTCTTTAATTAAAAATAATTTTGTGTATGTATTCACTGTACATAAAACTCTAAATTTGATTAACTGATATGTTGAGGAACTTATTTCTTCATATTCACTGATAATACAGACTTTTATCTTTTTTAACTTTTAGCTAAAAGAAGTATCTAAAGGATTTTGGACAATTTTCAATGTGCTTTCCTAGTCTTAGTTCAGAGTGACTACAAGTAGGCTTGATGTTATAGCTTTTTTAGTATAATATTATATATTTAAAAAGTTATGTTTAACCTAATGCTATTTTTTGTGAATAAATGATAGCTTTGATCACAGAGAATTTTTCTTGTCTTCAACTTATTGAAGTTGAAATGCATTTCATTTTATGAGTGGCTGCTTAAAATATTATTGTTTATATAAATAAAGCACACAGAGAAACTACAATAATCTACCATTAGTTTATATTTTTGGATATATATATATATATGTTAGTTTTTGTGGAAGATGAAACTAATTCACTTTTTTTAAATCGTGGCTGAGAAAAACTGTTGCATAGATCTAAATGGATCGAAAATCACAACTGGCTTAATGGTTAAAGTATTTTTATTTTGAACAGCACCAATTACTTAGAAATACATTTTTGCTTGAATTGGTACAAGATTAGGGATGCTAAATGCACCCCACAATTTGTAAATACGTAGCTTACATTTTAGATAACAGAAGAGAAACTTAGCGAAGATATGTGACTTTCTTCAGCAGAAGAAGCAGGCACGAAAGAGTGATACGTAATAACTGCAGTAGTATTTATAAGCTAAGAAAGTCTTTGTTTTAACCCTGAGCAGCTACTGGACAAAGTTTTTTTTTGCAGCACAGAGAAATTTCAGGGAAACAGTGATACAACATGCAGCAGAATGATGTGAAATGGTGCAAAACATATCCTTAAAGAAGGGATGTGTTTAATTAAAAATTAAAAATTTAAAGATCTATTGCCAGTTGTTTCCAATTTAGTTATATAATTTTGTTTCATATTTTACACACACACATACATATGTATCCTTTTTTATATTTGTAAAATAACTCACAAAACTACTTTTTTACTATACACTAATGAAGTAAAGTAAAATTATTTTTTTCTTTCTTCATTAATGCAATGACAATGATCATATGATTAGAAAAGTGGTAGCAAACAGTAGCCATATAACCAGAATATGATAAAAATATACTGGCTGGAAAAAAGATGCATAATTATATAAGATTGAGGTATTTGTTTTAAAGTACAGCATGTGTTAAGCGTGGTATCATTAACAAATAAATTTATAATGGCAAATAATATAAATATACTGCTTTGTATGTAGTGACATATTTGCTTACACTAATTAATAATAAAGAGCACAAACAAAATGTGATAAGCTTTTATATGAAAGCATAAAATATATATAATCATTTTCTTAGTTAAAAACACATATTTTAATTAGCTAAGTATAAAATATACAGTACTTTTAAATAATACTATCACAAAACATTGGTAATAAATGGACAGTTAAAAGACTAAGAAATTACACCACTTTTTTACTAACTGAAAACTATGCTCAGAGATAGATTTCAAGCATAGTTTTTCTTGCAACTGAAGCAAACACTTGAAACATGCAGACTTCTGTTACTATTATATCTTTTCTGAAATCTTTTTTCTTCCTGTTCATTAAAATAATTAAAGCTCGTTAGAATTCATTGATGTAATTGTACAGATAATGAACCTTGATACACACATTACAGTAGAGCTTATTAAACTTGAAAGGCATGTTATGCACTTTTAAGAATAGTTCTCTGAATTACGTCTGCCAAGAAGGTTTCTAACTAAAACATATAAGAACCAGCCCATTGTATTAAATGAATTTATAAAACGTGAAAATCTTTAGTTCTTCCTACCAACCTTTTGCGCTTATATCAAGGAGTTCACCTAGTAAATAATTAAAGCATTATAAACTTTTTATTTATTAATGTGTTTCATCAGCTTTAGAAGAAGGCAAAGTGTCTGTCAAGATTGTTTGATTACATTTTGTTCTCTAACTACCATATCTTTTCTTGAAGATAACCTTCTAAATCAAATGATCTCCTTTTTTTTTTTTTTTTCTTTTCCAGTCTTATTTCAGACAAGACAATATAATAAATTTGGATATTTTTATGTATCTACTTATATTTGTTTGTTGCTTCCGACCAAAAGTTTACAAAGGTTCTACTTATAAAGACATTTTTCCAACTAGGAATATTTGTGTTTTCATGCGACTGAAAAATGAAGGTAACAACAACCCAAGAAGTTGCACAGTTTCATGAGTTATAAGTCAGTCCACTTCTTTGGTAACTGTAAATGAATGACAAACAAAAACAACTGAGGAAACATATAGTACTCTGAAAAGCTTATCTGGAAAATGCAATCTTAAACATCTAGAGTCTTTTTGTTTTTTTTCTGCACAAGGTTAAGCACCAACACTTTTTAAATAAGCATTTAAGTTAAGCATACATGTTAATCATGGATTTTTATGAAATATCAAGCTTGTTGTATTTTAAACAAAAATAATTAGGAAGTAGTATTTCAAACTGACATCATATGAAAATAAATTTTGGTATTTCATAAAGAAAGCTTAAAGTTTAATGTAACTGATACAGGTGGAGTAAATCATCTTTACAAACAATATAAAAAATACCTGACACAGTGATTTCCAAAGCATGGACCACAGCCCAACTAGTAAGCTTGGGAGCTAATTTCTGGTGGATTGTGAAACGTTTTGAAAGCTGTTGATTAGGACATACAACTATGCACATTTATTTATAATTAATCAAGTTACAGCTTTTAATTAATTGTTAATAATTACATATTTACTGTTATTTCCCTAAATTTTTACTTTCCCTTATCTGTTACTTCATAAAACTATATACATGTGAGTCATAATAAAATGCAACTATATGCAGATGAGATGTAGATAACAATTAAAAATTTGGATAAACACTGCTCTGACACATATCAATGGCATCAAAAACATGAATCTGCAAAATGATCGCTAGTGAAAAAATTTGGGGAAATAAGTTCTTTTACGTTCATTACTATCTTTCAGCATAATGAAAATTATGAAAAAACTATACATTGCTGACAGTAATATTTTTAACACTTGAAGCACCATCACTTTTTAAATTCACACTCAAAGTGTTGAATTTTAAATTGGATTTAATATCTAGTACAATAATTAATTTTGATGTTAGTTTTTACAATCAAGTTCATAATTCTAGATTAGGAGTTCTCAACTGGGAGGGAGTGGAATGCAGTCAGCCTTTTGTTTACCTGTTAAGTATTTCATTTTATTTTATGAATATGAAAAACTACTTTTATTCAGTTTTTGGTATTTATCAACACTTTTTACAATTTTCTTGTTCAATTTATAACACACATTAAAAAAGACGAACCAGGGGGAATAATCATCTAGCAGTGGTGAAAGGGGTGGGGCAAAAAAGGTTGAGAACCACTGTTCTAGATCACAAAAAGAAACAATTTTAAAGAACAGGGTAGATAAATAAATCAAGACAAGATAAGTGATCAAGTTAAGAGGATAAATAGTGACAATTTTTTTCAATTGAAAATTAAAATATTTGATTGATCGCATATGAAAATGATCTTCAAAAATTCTAATTTATTTTATTGCTGCAACTCTTGGTATATTAAAAAATATTTTTGCATGAAATTATACTATACCAACTTTTTAATGAATCTTTCATTATTTTAAGATAGTTAAGTAGATATCAGTACTCAAAAACTCATAATTAAAAGTTTCAGAAAATGAAAAACAATTACATATATTTAAATTATTTTACAGATCACAAATCAATAATCTATTACTGATTTGAACTTATCATTAATAATTATACATTTGAACTTACTCAACAGTGTCATTCTTAGTGAACTTAACAAATTGTCAATGCAACTTAAAAGTATAAAACAAATTCTCTTGTATATAACTGCAAATTAAAAATGATCGGATCTTTTGGGAAAATGAAGAATATCTTGATGAATGAGCAAACAATGAATGAAAATATAATTAATATATGCAGTAATGATTCAGTATACAGGTACAAAATTTAGAATGCACAGAAAACATTAACATTAGCATCACTCATCATGTTACAAAGGCACACATGCTTGTATGACACAGTAAAAATGGCAACTTGACAGTAAAAAATAATCCAATTCACTCATAACCAACCCAGCATAATATTTCACCCATACAAAATGTGCAACTTGCCTAGCAATAGTAATTCTATCTCTTTTCTTTTAGTGGAGCTGCAAAAATGCTAATATTTTTGCATGTTTTATTTTTAAATAGATTAAAATAATGATATAAATTCCACCTGTTTAAACTGCTCTTTCATTACTGCACTTCTGTTAAATAAACTTGGCCCAGTTGTTTTGCTTGATTTTCAAACGTATATACACAGAAGTATAGTGTCTTTAATCACATACATGCATTTTCGTGATGAAAGAACAAATTTACAAAACCATTTAAACACTTCTGATTTCTTAGTCTGTTCTAAGAAAGACAGTGATGTTAGTGTTTCTTCTATTTTACACTGATACACAAAACTAAAAATTTAAAATTAATTAATTTATTATTAATTAAAAATGGGCATATCTGAGACTAAAAATTAAAATTCTCAACAGAACTCTGTTGTTTTTTCATTGATTTTAGGCACTGTGCAATCATCCCCAATTCAACATTTTTTTCAGCTAACACAATTTATCAATTACAGTCTATCTCTGTTGGACTGAATTTCAAATAGCATAATTCGCAGGAGTGAATGACAACAACGAATATGACAATTGGGGGGGGGAATCACCTCATTATGAATGCAGCATTAGTTACTGGGAAAACAAAATTTTACTTAATTCACATCATGAAGATTTCAACACTACACGAAGAGTATTGTTGAACATTGTACAAATTCTTTATGTTTATTGCTGAATATGAAGTGTATTATTTTATGATTCACATCATGAAGAGTTTAGTGATCTCATTAACATGGATCATCAATAAGCACATGAACTCAATGTATTTATTTAAGTGACCTTCCCCCCAAAAATTAATTTGAAATAGTTTTAGGTAATATTTTGTCTTTTTGAAGATTTAAATGAGTGATATTTTTCTCTTTTCTGGGCGGAGGGATGGCATAAAAAAGAATTACAGTAAAAGTACTTTCAAATTTATGGGATCCTGGCATCAAGAAAAGCGTGATTTATGTAAAAATGGATAAACACTGGCTATGCAGTACAAAAATTTTATGACAAGCATTTTTTTATGTTATATACCCTGTATATGTTGATAAACTAAAAAAAGAATGCTCTGTTCTTTCGAACTTCTGCTGGAACGATTAGCGAAATTGCCATAAATTTTTATGGTCGATGGAATTTCACAATTGAATATATTTTACTTTGGCATTTACGTCTGAAATGCTCCCTTTTTCTGATAATTTCACATAATTTAAATGTAGACATTTAATATTCAAGTAGCTAACAAATAAAATAAATCTTTAATCAGCTTCTCTACAGTGAACTGCACTTTTTAATGAGCTAAATTATCCGGAATTTTTGAGCATTAGGAATTTTCTAGGCCTTCCAGATAGTCAAGCTTTTACCATATATTAAAGTTTACTCAGATTAAAAACTTTAAAACTATTTTAAGTGAAGGAGTGTTATAGAAAAGTCTGATAAATAGCTTATTTACAACATTTTACATCGATTCATATTTAGTTTAACACTCCTTCACTTAATATTACATTTTACAGGGCTTAATTAACAATGTTAAGCAAAGAACTAATAATACAGGGTAATTCATAAAGATGTATCTACTTTCCAGATGCTGAAAAAAGAGTGACCGTCAAAGACATGCACCACTTCAGCAAACCACAAGGTAGACATATCGTTAAAGTTTGTGTCTAGCCCCTGATGGAAGTTACATAGGCAATAATGTGCATGTGTGACTAGTCATTCGAAATGGTTACATCTGCAGTGGAGAAGGCTTTTTGTGGTCTTGAATTTAGCAAAACGGAATCCACAACTGCATTTTCGATCACAATTCGGAAAAGAACCTTCAACTAGAAAATCTATCTATGAATGGCATGAAAATTTTAAAACTACCGACTGACTGTTTGTGCAAAAGTCCTGGACCACCAACTGTATGACTGTATCCCAAGAAGTCGCCGATTGAGTTTGCACCGCATCGTGTGACTAAGGGTTCACAGATCAAACATCTGTGACTGTCTCTAACAAAATACCATACAGTAATGTTACAGGTAACATATAATATGTTTCAATAAAACTGTATACTTCTTCATGAATCACCCTGTATAAACCAAAGTAAAATAGTTAAAAAAGGGAAAGGAACATTTTAAAATTGCAGAACAGTTTAAACAGACTCACCGAAATCCTCATATTACTTATTACAAAAATAAATCTTTCCTTTTATCACAATAATCAGTAAGTTTTCATATACGCTTATATAATATTTATAATATATATATAAATTTCTTTGACTTGCACATTTTGTATAGACTTTTTAAATTTTGAAGTGTACAATCTATAAAAATACATCAAAAATTCGCATTACTACAGTATATACGTTTATTAAGAACTTCAGTTTGAGATCAGTATTTGGTATATCAGGGGTTCTCAACCAGGTAGCTGCATATAAAGGAGGGATTTCACAGTTTGAAGGAATCTGTTCAACTTTAGATTCATGAATTCAAATCAAAAACAGATGATCATATTTTAATTTGCAACTGAAACTGACAATATCAAAAAATTATGAAAACTTAAATATAGGCCTCATTAACAGCAGGAAAACGATCAGAAACATTATTTTTATTTATTATTACATTTATCATTATAATAAAACCTTAAATTTATACACATCTTTACAATATACTAAAATAAAATAATCTCATTTCTCAGCGAATATTAGTTGATATATTATTATTCCAAATAATATTTTATATATTATTTGGAATGTATAGCTTCAAACTTCAGAAGGGAGAATGACATTTGACATTCTGATTTATTGTGCGACAAAAGGAAAAGAATTAAAAAATAAGAGGCGGTTGAGAACCATTGTTATATACAAAACAGTAATTACATATAAAACAAATTCCTGATTAATTCATACAAATTTTTTAGAGCAAAGAGAAAAACAATGATTATAAATTAGAAACATAAATTAAGTAACTTACATTATTCATATATAACAGTGTTTTGAGTTTTCCAAAATACTTCTAATAAAGAGACTAAAATTTACTTAGAAAACTCTGTGTTATTTTTTCACATATAAAATGTGTTGGATATGAATAGAAAACTTTAAAATGCATTAAATTTTACAAACAGAGTGCGAACACTTATTTCATTATTTACTAAGAGATAAATGCACAATAAGTTTTTACGATCAAGAGAAACAACAACTATAAAATGTGACAAAATATTCATAGCAATCTTGTAATAAATGGCTCTTGTGCATCTCATAAAAATATTCAACAGTACTGTTAAAGATCTACAGCAAAAGTATACTATTAAACTATACAATACATATACACATATTACAAGAGTTTAAAACAAGTTTTTTTTTTTTTTTTTTTTTTTTTGACTGAGTGACTACATTTAAGTCACAGGATATTTATAAATTCAATCCAGGATATTAACATACTTCTTGATTAAACCTATTTATAACTCTCAAAGAGGCATATTTTCACTATATTATATAGATAATAATACACACTCATACACATACCCACACACGCGCATATATATATATAGAACACTATACAAACAGCAAAATAAATGAATAGCAAAATGTAAATTCTAAATAGCAAAAAATTAAGTGAAAAGCACATTTATGTTATTAAAAGGTAACTCTTACAACTTGTGCTCTTGAGTATTAGCTTGCTGTGAAACTTCTTTAGTAGCAGCAGAAGTAGCACCATTATATATGCGAAAACTGGATGGCCTTGATTTAACCCAGTGGTCCCAGACAGTGATATTCTTAGTTGGGTGTAATAAAAGGTAATATATTATCTGAAAATGCAGCAAAAAACAGCAAATTAAAACTCAGTTTTATAATCTATTATTCTAATACCTATTTTTATAATCTATTAATTACACTCCTGCAGTTCAGCTGTTACTCCTGTATTGTATAGCAAAAGAACTAACTAATTTATTAACAGATTTGGCATTTAAATAGTTAATGTTAGTAGAATTATAAATTAAATTGCTTTATTCCCTGAGCAATGCAGCGCCTGACGAATATTATGAGAAAGCTAAGCTGGAAAAATAAAAAAATACAAGAGCACGTGCATTTAACATTAACTAAATAAATATCTCTTTTTGATTTCGAGAAAGTTCCAGAAAATTCTCGCATGCAATTTAAAATCTTATAAAAAGGAGGAAAACCTCTCAATTCGATGATTAGTTAGTTTGTGTTGTTTTAAGAGTTTGTTTAGAAAACTGCTCTTGTTGATAGTAGCGAATTCGCGGATTAGCTTTCTTTAGCTGTTTAGAATTGAGTTCTCTTGAACATTTGAGTAGTTAAAAGATAACTACTGTGAGATATTGTAATACTGCAAGAACATCTGAGGAAATTTAAGCATTTTTATTGTGATAATAATAAATTTTGTTCATTTTTCATCAGACTTGTGCATTCATTTCATAACGAACCCGTAGGCACGCAACAATACTGAATGCTAAATACAATGAAATACTTATGTATCATAAATAAAACATTAAAGTTTAAATGCCAAATTACATACATCAAACATCAGCATTAAATAAAGCAATAATAAAATGTAGTCTTATATGCATTTTTTTAAAGATGTACAATGTATTTTCATTTTCTCTCCCTCCTAATATATGTAAAAGTAAGGAATTCTCTAACTTTGGGTTAATATTCATTTAATGACACAACAGTGAAAATTACTACATATTTATTATCAAATATCAAGTAAAGCTTCAAGAAATTACAGTACAATAAACACCATGTTTTAAATACTGCAAAAGCACTGAAAACACTAGTCTTAAAAATACTCATGAAAGGGGAAAAGAAAAGACAAGATTTAAAAGGACTATAATTCTCTTCCTTCTACACTAATTATGTCTGAAATGAAGACTGCCACAATTATGATGGGGGGCATCAAACTACATTATACAATGGTACATAAATATTGCTTCCATGCCCATTCTTAATAAAATAAAATAAAATAACTATATGTTTGCTTTGTTGCTCTGACAGCAGTTATATCTGCATGTGATATCAAGCTAGCTTTCATCACAGATACAGCTTTTTCCACCTTAGGTGACTCTATTTTCAACTTTCATGAACATATATATATATATATATATAATGAAAATTCTATTTAGGCTACTTGAATACAGCAAATGACAAGGGTTATCTGCCTAAGGTGGGAGATGCCTTTATAGAGGGCTTGAACAGCATGGGTACCTTGGGATTGACATACACGTACTTTCAGAGAATGTGCCCTGATGGCTATCTAGGACTACAAAGAAGTTAAATTTTAGCTCTTCAATACATTTTGTTGCATACATATAAGACTGTATTTTGCTTTTATATTACCTATATTTTATATTATTTTAGCATTTTTACCCCTTTCAATTTAAAATCAGAACTCATAAATTTAATAAATAATTTACACTTTTCACCTACTTTATTATATCTTTTAAAATTTTAATATTCTTTGACCCACTTTACTACATTTTTGCATACATAAAGTGCGCTAGTTAGCTTCCACATGCACTGAATATATTTTTTAACAACACCTGCAAGTATTATGTAATGTGTTTTATACTTTTTGGTGATCACAGAATGTTCTTGCTACTAAGATTTACATTGAAATGGTTTCCACTTGTCAATAGTGCTTTGAATATTAATCAATTTCTCTGCTTTTTGCCCCCAAAATATACAAGAAAGATCATGAGACAAAAAACCAAAATGAAAATAATACTTTTCGATTCATTTATATTACATTCCATGAAAACTTCTTTAAATATTTCATAAATTATTTTAAATGCATTATACATTTAACCTACATAATCTATTGATTAAATGCTTCGTACAATTAACTTAAAATGCTTTATTTATTCAACAAAAATATATTTTAAGATACTTACCATTATCACCAAACCCAAAACGAAGCTCAAAAATTGCATAAACATGGCCGGATATTTATAAGTAACATGGGCAGGGCAATAAATAAACCATACACTCATCAATGCAGAGTTTTCCAAGAAAGATAATACATAGTAAAATGTAAATCGACGGCGTGTAGGACTGTCCTTAGGGTTAAAGTAGCAAAATATGAATAAAACTCCAAGAACAAGATTGTATAAAAATTCTTCACACCTAAAAAGATTAATTATTAAATTTATTAAAAATAAATTAATAAAATATAAATTTTTATTAACAATAATAACTTCATAAATATACAATAAGATATTATTAAAAGACACACTTTTAACAAAATACAATTATTTTTGATTCACATGATTTTTTACTTTAATCTTATGCATCATTTTAAAATTCTCATATTTATTTATAAAATACCGATAAATTATGTTTAAAAATAAATTTCTAATAAAGACTGTTGAGACTGGTGATGTGGACATCACCAGTCTCAACAGTCAGTAGCAAACTCATTTATGCAAGTAACATGTGCAATTTAAGTACTTGATAGATTTATATGCTTTCACTGATCAGTGATAGATGAATTTTTTGGGTCATAACTAATTATAATGGGGTTATAAAGTCTGCAGCTCATGACAGAGAAAGCACCAGTTTCTTTTTTTCAGAAATATGGTCTTTTGCCTAACAATACAGAATGAGAAACTTCAAATTCTGTCAAGGAACTGCACTTTTTAAATGACCAAATTTCAGCAAGTCAGCTGAAACTAGCTGACCATTAATACTAACCAGTAATAGATTGGAACAATTTTACTGTGGGCATTCTGAATAAACTTTTTGGTAAAATCATTGAAAAAAATAGTAGGAATATAAGAAAGCCTTTTTATGAAGCATAAAAGTGAAGTGCGTCGAATACTGATTTCTTGTTAAATAAAGAGATGTCGCTTGTGATTTTTTCAGAAACAACTGGAACAACTTTAGCAGGATCTTCTCCAACTTTTATGGTTTAATGATAGTCAACTTTTATGGCTGACATGATAAAGCACATAAAACCACTTTCTGAGATACATGGCTTTATTGCTCTATAGAAGGAGAGGACAAACTTCATGTCAATAATATAGATTAGTATTCAAAAATATTCAAGAGCCACAATTACATGTTTTAACAATCATAACTAGATTTTACACTAATTTACAAAACTCTAAAACAGTTTGTGAACAGAGTAAAAATGTTTCAATAAACAAATAACATTGGTTGTTCATGCTCGGAATTTGGGAAATACTTTTACAATATATAAGTTTCTACAATGCATTAGAAATCTCCTCCCCCGAGATACAAAATTAAACGTTTTCATATCATTTAAAAAGTTTTCTCATCTTATCTACAGATTTTAATGTGAATAAACTGAAACTGAAAAACTGCACAGTGGTCTTTTAAAACACCATATTTATTTGTAAATACATCATTCTCACATTTTAAGATACATTTTATGAAATAAAAGTATAGGCAAATACTTATTTTGTCCTGCAATGACTCTGAGAGAGACAATTTTTTTTCTTCCCACAAAATATAGATTCTCCAACCAGGGAAGAATATAGTCAACATTTTACTTAGCTGTTCAGTATTTAGTCTTGTTTCTGAATATAAAAAAGTTTTTTTTTTTTTTTTTTTTTTTTAATATTTACTATTTTTACTCATGTTTTGTTACTTATCCCCTTTTGTATACTTTTTGTTTTTCAATTAATAAAACACATTGAGAATAATATAAATCTAAATAAACATATATGTATTTTCCAAGTTTTAAAAAGAAGGGAGATGAGTTTCTAGCAGTGGTGAAAGGGTTGCATGCTGCAAAAAGGGCTAAGAGAACCCTTGCTACAGAATTTCCTTAATAGCACCATCATTAGCTGTGGGCCAAAGGACATTGTTACCTATTTATTTGTGATAAGTTAGTAGATGAATAGGCCTAAATTGAAATCACTTGGCTATAACAATTAGCTGTAATTATGCAACATAACAATCTCTGTCTCTCTATATATATCTATCTATCTGGAGAAATCACACACAGGTGAATGGTTTTTTTTTTTTTTTTTTTTTTTTTTTTTTTTTTTATATATAATATTTAGGCTATGTAATTATTCTACATAGTAAGACTGCTTAATTAAACATTTCACAATCATTCTGCAGCTTCATTTATCAGATTATTCAATTTATAAAAACCTACCAAATTTTTTGTGCAAAATATAGTGTAAAGAGGGAGGTCTTATTTCTGAGTAAATATGCAATAACCTGAAAACTGCAATCAAGGGACTTAATTTGTTAATCTACACATACTTCTCCGGAAAGAACGAAAATAACTATGATGAAATAGAAAACTTCTATGTTGAAATTGCAATCAACACTTGAATAAAAAAAATCACAGCTGAAATATGAAGATCACAATTTATTTTAATGAATTTTATTATATACAATCTGAACTGTCATATTTCATTTTAATCAGTGAAAACTAAAGCTATATATAGTCCATTACTTGGAGAGACATAGATTCATACTACATATTTTCAATGCATCTTTCTTTCGATTCACACTTTTAACATGTTCTTTCTGCATGTTTTCTAAAAATAGCCCAACCACAATATTAAGTTAAAGAGCCAGAATAATTTGTCATTACTTTGAAGATTATCCTGTACCAAAAATTCTGAAATTACAAAATGCACATCATATAATTTAAAAAAAAATTAAATTACTAATTAGAAAAGTATTATACATTGCGACAACATCAACTTCCACTTTTTAATTACATTACAAAAATAAAGCTACTCCTCACAAGGTTGAGTTTTCCAAAAGAAAATATTTATCCCCTTGAGCAGTTGCTAAAACTTAGATGTTTAAGTAGATCTCATAGTAAGTACAAAAATACATTTATTATGCACACAATACATATTATTAAAGAAAATTTTTACTGTTAAAGAAATGAAGATATTTTTTTTTAAACCTACACCCATCTTCGGCATTTCTGCTATTAGTCGACAAGTAGGCCAGTGAAATGATGAGAGTGTAAAAAAGAAAGGGTAAAAATTAGCCTTGATAGAGTTGTCTAATAAACGTAAAAGTAATAGGGCAGTTCTTGAAGTCGTCAATATACATATCACCCCGATGACACAAAAGGCAACAAGCTGAATCCTGAACTCCAGTCCGATATAAATGTTGCTGTAAATAATCATGGCTAAGTAACAAATGAAAGCAAAGAACTCTTATACCTCAAGGTAAGGAACTGGGGAATTTGTTCATTATTTCTTTTTGTTGAGCAGGATATTCTACTTCTTATCCAATGCTGCATCAACATATAAGAATATTCTGCTATTTTTCAGTTTATTAGTGCAAAGGGGCAATTTGCCCAGAAGGACTATTAATTTCATTTTGGTATTTTGCATCGATTCATGATAAGATTTGTTTCACTTTTCAAATTGTTGCCACTAAATATTATCACCCCGTATTATATTTAAAGAAATTAAATAATGAAGAATCTGCATGAATGTATTTTTACAAGAATGTTTCTCGCATTGTGATAAAACAATGGTACCTAGAGCCATCAAAATTTGAATTATGTAATCTTTCATACAATATGGGCATGTGGAAGCCCTAATTTGAATTTTGTTTTTCATTGATTCCATATTTTGTAACACTTCAACAACTTTTTGATTAACAATCTAAACGATTTCAAAGCGAGCAAGCGCAACACTGTATGAAAAAAAAATTCTGTATCGGACTCTGTATCGGAAATTCTAAAGATATGCTCATTTTAAAATTATTTTGCGATATTGCTGTTGAACTGAATTTTATGGTTTAAGCGCAGACACGATATTTAATAAATTAAAATAACACACAAAATGTTAAAAAAAATACACCCCTTTGGACGTAATTTAAAATCTGAAACCTTTCAGATTTTGTTATTTTTATATATACCTATTTTATTACACAAAGGTAAAGGAGAATCAGGGATCCAGACTTGGCAAGTCTGCCCATTTACAAAAATATAATGTGTCAGATTTTACTCTTTCTGTTTTCCCTTAGCTTAAAAAATTTCATTTTACAAGAATGAACCCGGGCATTTTCATTATAATTAAAATAGGTGACAAAACAGCAGCTTGTGAATCAATGAAAAACACAATATTTTGATCTAGGCTATTTTTTAATTTATCAATTGCATATGTTATAGCTGCTATCACTCCATCAAAATTCTCACAGGGCTCCTCAACAGGACAGCTAATATTAAAATTATTTGAATAGGCTTCAACACCAGCATTTTTTTTACCATATTTTCTGCTGAATAATCTGTGTAAACATGGAACCACTTGTCTGGGAGGGTACCTCTAATGCATAGTAGACTGAGGAGCATTTTTTAACTCATTCAGATTAGAAAGGTGTCTGTTGACCCTGCCAACAAAATCCAGGTGTTTTTGTAGCTTATCTATATTTAAAGTGGGATTCCACTCCTGCGAGAAAACCTGATAACTGTGTATCGGAATATCATAAGACCATATACAGTTAAAAGAAGGATCTATGCGCCTTTAGTCGTTCACTTGCTGGTTTATAGCAATTTAAAAATTTTCTTTTCTTCTCAAGATTTTTTTCAGCAAGATTCACTGCACCATTAGTGATCAATCGCGACATCTTGTTTTGGAAAATGTAGAGCTTGTTTCTAACAGAATCCCAGGCAATAAAAACCTCATGACCATATTCAACAACAAGACGAATATAACTTTTATAGGATGTACACAAAATATCTTGGGTCGAGCTCCAAGTAATACCAGCTAGACGTTTCAGTAGTTTAGATCTCAAATGTCGTAGATCAATGGCTACATTTATTTGTTTTTTCCAAGATAATTTTGGGTCTAAATGAATGCCCAAGTAAACAATATCATATGTTCTGTTTAGACTTTTTATTATTATAATGAAGATGAATGTCATGGTATTTAGTACTAAGGAAAAACAAGTGGAGAGTAGTTTTTTCAGTATAGTAATAAATACTGAAAGAACTACTTAGTATGGTTGTATATGCTTAATATATTACTGCTAATACATAAGTCAATGTCTTCTAACTAATTTTCTCTGCCATGGAAAAAATTTGTTAAATCAGCTGAAAGTATGCCATTTCTAAAATTTAACTTTATCCTGATGCCATTTGTTATACATAAAATCTCGTACAGCAGAAAAGAAAA